TTTTCATTTCATATTCAGATTACGTGGCTGAAGTTTCATTTCATATCAGATTACATGGCTTGTGTTATTTCATGTTCAGATTACATGGCTTGAGGTTTTCATTTCATATTCAGATTACGTGGCTTGAGGTTTTCATTGCATATGCAAATTAATATGGCATAAGTTATTGCATATTCAGATTACATGGCTGGAGTTATTGCATATCCAGATTACATGGCTTAAGGTTTTCATTTCATATTCAGATTACGTGGCTTGAAGTTTTCATTTCATATTCAGATTACATGGCTTGTGTTATTTCATGTTCAGATTACATGGCTTGAGGTTTTCATTTCATATTCAGATTACGTGGCTTGAGGTTTTCATTTCATATTCAGATTACATGGCTTGAGGTTTTCATTTCATATTCAGATTACATGGCTTGAGGTTTTCATTTCATATTCAGATTACATGGCTTGAGTTATTGCATATTCAGATTACGTGGCTTGAGGTTTTCATTTCATATTCAGATTACATGGCTAGTGTTATTTCATATTCAGATTTCATGGCTTCAGTTACTGCATATTTAGATTACATTACCTATTACCTATCAGTATCATTACCTATTCTGATTACCCAAATTCACAATCACATTTCAAATCAAAGTTACAAAATTCAACCATTTTATTATTCAAGGTGATGTAGAAAGTTCTGTCCACATTCTTGGAAGAGCGCAGTCAATCACTGGTGCCGACATTGGTGCAATAGAACTGGAAGATGGAGAACCGATAACAGGCCGGTACAGTGGGGGTGATGACTATATTGTGGATACAACTCAGAATATAGTAGATGGATCCGAATCTGGATCAACCTGGATCCAGCCAGATATGCTGGAGGGGGTCCAAGAACAGGAAAGTGGTAAGAATATTGATTATATATGATTATTTTACTATTGGCTAGGATATTTTTACCACTTAATCAATCCAAGCATGTGTGAAATATGGCTAGACTTGAACAAGGGGATGCACACACTGAGGTTAATCCATAAATCCTTGTTTTTAGACTTTGTTCGGAAAGGGTGCATAATTTTTTAACAGGGATTTTGTTTGATGCATTTTAGAAAGAACAGTGGAAGAAAGAGATGATGATGTTCACTCTGCATCAGCACCACTATCTTTACCCGAAGATGAAGATCAGTGGAAGGGAAATCAGGTAGACGAAGAAAGACCTAAGTCTACATTGTCACTTGGTGATTCAGAAAAAATACACACCACACCAGTTACTAGTGAGAAAGAAATGGCTGAAGCACCCTCTCAAGTTGAAAGTGAGAAAATAAAATCTGCTGTGGGAAGCCAAGGTGGGAGTCGTCGTGAAAGTAAGGGGATGTGGTCAGTAGCGAGCAGTCGTCCAGGTAGTGTGCAAAGTGGTAGTAGACCTGGTAGCGAGAAAGCTGCGAGTCGACCTGGTAGCGTTCATGCTGAAAGTCAACATGGTAGTGTAAAGACTGATAGTCGACCGAGTAGCGTGAAGTCTGAGATACGACCAAGTAGCGTAAAGTCTGAGAGCCGACGAAGTAGTGTGAGAGCAACCAGTGTGAGTGAAAGTGGGAGAGAAATGAGTCGTCAAAGCAGCGTTAAAAAATTAAGTGAACTGAGCAGTGAACGGCCAGATAATGGAAGCCAACCGGTCAGTGTAGCGGGTGAGGCAGACGTAGAAGGGCTGGAAAAAATAGAAATTATTATGCAACCTCGAGAAGCATCACATATAACTGAAGGTAAACAGTTGTAATTATGAAAATATGGATAATTTTAAATTAAAATTCATACTACTCTAATCAGGATTTTTTAGCCTGTAACCAGAAACAATAAATTTATTTGATATAAGGACCTAAGTGAAATATACGATGCA